GACACACTGCTGAGCCTGGTCAATTCTGTTGTAGTTTGATGTTCAGATCTGAGTGTCACCCACCAGGTGCAAAATCACACGTTTGTTACTTTTGCTCTGTTGTGGACTTTATGCTTTGCAGCTTGTGGAGTGTGCTGTTCTCTTCTTTATGATATTGTCAAATCCCAATGATGCATTTTCACACCTGTGTTTCATTCACTACATTCGGCTCTGCCGTCCACAATCCGAGCGCAGAAAATGAGTCTTGCCTGGCAAATGAAACCCACTAGGTCATCTTATCTGGCAAGAAAAGTGACCGTCGTAATGTCAATCATAGATGACAATGGCCGGCAGTGTTAGAAATCAGTCTGAAACTCGTTTCCTTAACTTTCCTACAAAAAGAAGTGAAATGACTCGAGCTCAGTGTTTGACATCAGCCAGGTGGTTATGGGAAATAGCTCTCTTAGCTTTAGTGCCGCATTTATTGTTACAAAATTGGCGGTTTGAGTCAATGGTTGAAGATGTGAATGAAACAAAATATGCAGGCAGGCTCAAAGAGGGAGGGGGGGGGGGAAGGCTTAATCATCAGCCATAGCTTTGAGTGATGGCACGAATGGCTGCAGAGGGGCATGCAAGGTTGGTTCTTTCCCTACGGCCTGTCATTCATTGCTAGTTATGGTACTTTGGCTGTTCTGTCTTGCGTACAAATTTGTCTGGGGTGCATGCACCTGGGTCCAGGTTGTGCTGGCAGCCAACGAAGTTCCTTCTATTAATGACATCACGTGTTATGAACTACGGGATGCTCTAAGCCAGGTTAGCTCTTGTCCTTCTCCCTCTGTTGATCATTCACACTTTCTTCCCCTGTTTTCATCCCTTCTTTTCGACCTTCTCCCTCTGCTTTTCCTCCCCTTTTTGCCCACCCCCTTCCTTCCATTTTCTTCTTGCTTCGTCCCATTCCTCTTCTTCCTCTTCCGCCTTTTCCATTTCAGAATATATCTTGTGCATATAGAAAGCCAACATCCAAGGCATTTGTCTGAGCGGCTTCGCTGTGAGATCTGAAATCCTGAATTGCTGCACACCGATTCTCCTTTGTTGTCCTTTCGATGGAGGTCAAGGGCAGTATGCAGTGTTTTCTTCTTCTTCTTCTTCTTCTTCTTCTTCTTCTTCTTCTTCTTCTTCTTCTTCTTCTTCTCCTTCCCCTTCTCCTTCTTCTTCTTCTTCCTCCTCCTCCTCCTCCTCCTCCTCCCCTCCTCCTCCTCCTCCTGTTGTTGTTGCTACTGCTATGGCTGTTGGTGTCGTTGTTTGTGTTGTTGGTGTTGTTGGTGTTGTTGGTGTTGTTGCTGTTGTTGGTGTTGTTGGTGTTGTTGGTGTGGTTGGTGTGGTTGGTGCTGTTGCTGCTGCTCTTGTTGTTGTTGCTGCTGCTGTTGTTGCTGTTGCTGCTGCTGTTGTTGCTGTCACTGCTGCTTCTGTTGCTGCTGCTGTTGTTGCTGTTGCTGCTGCTGTTGTTGCTGTCACTGCTGCTTCTGTTGCTGCTTCGGTTGCTGTTGTTGTTGTTGTTGTCGGTGCTGCGGCTGCTGCTGCTGCTGCTGTTGTCATGGCTGCTGTTGCTGCTGTGTGTGGGGGAAAGGAGAGCAGGGGGAGGGAGTTGGGGGTGGTCATATGAATGGATGCATAAATGAGCCAAGGAGCGTGAAAGGGGGGCCCAGAGGGGAAGGGGAGAGAGCTGGGATGAGATAGACATCAACAGAATGGAGATATAATCGGTGAGGGGAACTATGAAAACATGAATGGCAGAGCCAGATCAGGAAGATGACGTGTGTGAATGCGAGGCATCAAAGATGCATTTTCTACGGGATCCCAAAACCACCAACCACCAAACGCCCCAACCTACCGTTAGCTCATGATATGCCCACAGGATAACTTTGGAAGCAACAACTGTTTCACATCCCGGTTTAGAGAAGTTGTTGAACATCAGCTCTACTGGTCCCCGATACTGCGTGGACCTTGGACCTGGCTTGGCCTACCGACCTACCTTGTTAACAGGGTACGGGGAAAAAGTGGCCCTCTGTAGGACTGGTGGTTTAAGGCGGGAGTTCCAGCATCAAGGGCTTGTGTTGCACTCGCACGATCCTCGAAGTAAGATCCTTGGCACGTTCTGTCCCACCATCCTGGCGCATTAGCTTTGGTCGTGGTCATCCAACTGTCCTCTCCAGTAATAGTGAAGCGCCAATCAATGGAAAATGAGAGCGTGAGGTCCTTATGTTTCCCTTCCATTGCATACGTGCGAATCCAACCTCTCTCACAGTTGCCTCAAATCTACACAGTACCCTTTTGCATGTCATCGGAAAGCTGATATCTTAGTGTTGTGTTTGGAGTACCCTTTTGCATGTCATCGGAAAGCTGATATCTTAGCGTTGTGTTTGGAGTTTTAAGTTGTTTAACCTTTTTGAAGTTTGAGCATTAAATATATAGCTTGTGTTTTAAACCACCAGTACCCCAGGGGGTCTTAGGCCCCCTCTGGGAAGGCTCTGATGCAAATGCATATGGACCCGCTCGGTGCACCGATTCAGCCACCGCGTTAACGGCCTAAAAACGTGGAGGTACTGGTGGTTTAATGTTTAACCTTTTGTAACCTTAACAGGCTTAATAACTTATAGTTTGATGTTTAAAATTTAATAACTTTAAAGTTTAAAGTTTAAACCCAGCATGTAGGTTGAAGCTTCGAGACTCACAGTACCATGCAAGAGGCCCACTATAGCTTCTCGACAATTGTGTGAAGACAGGGATGACTTTCCAACACTTAGTCTCCTCCATGGCTCCAGGTAGGTATCTTAGAAAATCACCAGTAAGGTAGACTCGGTTAATCATGTGTTGGCTGGCTCATTTGCAGCACATCATCACTGTCGTGAGGAGTTGCAATTTTCTATGTCGCTGATTTGTTTTGGTTGTCTTCCACATTTTTGTGCTGTGATTTTGTTTTTCTTTGACGTAACGCATGTGTTCATGTCTTCGCATGGAAACAGATTGATGATGACGACATCGTGCTTGCTTTGGACTCAGGATCACTTTGTGTTGTGTCCTCAGGAAGTGATCTGCCAGTGAGTGCTCCCAGGAACCTTCTTCCCCGATGCTCAATCTCTGTGATATGTCCTGTCAGCGATTCATCTGTGCTATGCTCATCTTTGTCTTTTGACTCAGGTAACTCTGGTCTGGTTGTTAAAAAACTGTATTAGCTGTGAAAGATGAAAGGAATTGGTATAATAAGTTAATAACTACTATTAAGTTTTAACTGCAATACACATCTCACTACATGTCGATGTCACGCTTCATCACGTGAAACCTTGATCAAGAGATAGAAACCAACACAAGAGATGAAACCTTTGGAAATTGTTTCGAAATCGATGTTTTATTATTTTGTTGTCAGTATTGCAGCGCGCCCTTCCCACCCCCCCTAGAGGCCCATTCATCTGTTTTCTCCTTGGTTCTACTTTTTTTGAAGGTTTTCTATTTCTGAAGTTTTTGGGTTCTGATTTTAGTACTCTTCGCAATTTTTTACAGTGGGTTATTTTGAACAGTGATTAGAAAAAGTGCAAGATTGGTATGTACTATGTAGAATCACAATTTCTCATTGATTAGCTGGGTAGGGCTGGGTACTTTAGATAGTCTCCCACTATCCTATGGTGGCCTTGGAACAATTCTGATTCTATATGCTGTCACTCTTTGTATTTCTTCTTATGCTCGCCGGGGATAAGTAACCGGACCGGTGCTGTATATAAAGGGGATCGTGTCTTTCAAAAAAAAAGAAAAAAGAAAAAAGAAAACACTTGTACACAGTCTGGCGGCTATGGCCGCAACACAACAACCACCGAGAATCCTCTCTCTCTGTCTCTCTCTCTGTCTCTCTCTGTCTCTCTCTCTCTCTCTCTCTCTCTCTCTCTCTCTCTCTCTCTCTCTCTCTCTCTGTGTGTGTGTGTGTGTGTGTGTGTGTGTGTGTGTGTGTGNTGTGTGTGTGTGTGTGTGTGAATGCTTTCCGCACTCTCTATCCTACAGCTATGGCGCCAGCGCCTTCAACTTTAACTACTCGACTGCAAACTTCCACCCACAGTCAGTACTTGGTTGCAGCAGTGCTTCCACAACAAGCTCAAGTGGAAAATTTTGACGCTTCGCTGCAGTTGGACTTTTGTATGCGAAAACTTCCTTTCCTGTTCAGTGCCCAACGTCAGACTTTCCAGACTGGTTCTCTCTCTCTTCCTTGCCATGGTCGGCCTTCGGCACATCCGGAATGTTCACTTCCTTTGAACTTGGGCCGCTGGCTGGACCAGACTGGAGTAGGTCGGACTGTGTCCAATGGACTGGACAGGATCCTACCAACCTACGGGCCTGGACTCTACCCACCTACCTAGCAGACCGGTACTTTTGTCGTACATGGGACTTGGAGCCTTTGTACCTGGACTGAGACAGGACACTGATACTTGTATACTTGTAGAATCTTTTCATAACAAAGAATTAGACCACTCTTGTTATTCAAACCTGTTATGGATGTCTGGATTAGGCAACACATGTACCAAAAGGGGACCCCCCCCCCTGACATGGCACAAACAGCAGCAACAATTAGAGGAATACGATACTGGTGAGAAATGAAAGGAACTAGTATAACAAAGAAATCCGCAAGAGTGTTACAATCAGACTAGCTTTCTTTTCCACTTCGCATACATGCAAACAGTTGGCGATTCACACTGGCGCTCAGCGCCCACACAAAAGCTCAGAGATATGGGGTATGAGAACGCAGTTCAGATGTAAACTCGCTTCAACAAGCTATGGCGCCTTAGCGCCCTCACAGAACAACTCTCGCCTCTGCGTCCAACACCACTGTTCACACATACTCCACTCAACTCTGGATCACCCTGAATACCACCACACACACACTAACCTATCGCAGCTATGGCCGCTCTACACCTACTGACTATGGCTATGAGATCGCTCTTCAGCCCACTTCGTCTTCGGGCAACCTGCAGAACACCTTCGCACAAGACGCTGTAGCAGCGCTTCCGCGTGGCTTACGCAGCGAATGAATGAATGGCTGGGCGCTGCCTCTTGATTTATACTTCTGTAACTCGTTGGTCTGCCCCTTTCCCATGCCCTTGGTGCACACAGTCCCACACGGTACTTGCTTGACTGGACTGTGACTGACCGGGACCGGTACCGCTGACTGCATGGGTTTGCACTGCCAACTCGATGCAGTCGCACTGCCGACGTAACGCAGTTGGGCTCACCACTTGCCCACTTGCCACTGTCTAAACGTGAGCCAACTTCGAAAGGCCAATTCCGGACCTTCCGGAAGTCTGTGGTCTTGGCCTTTCGAATACTGTAGCAGCTACGACCTTGACCTCTCAGAACACCTACAGCTGCGACCCCTACAAGGCTGTGACCCCTACTCATCAGATCTACAGATCGAACCCCTACAACTACACAGACTTACTACAGACAGCAAACAACTATCAAAATACAGGTCACGGGTTCAAACACTCGGGGATCAACTCGATACTGTACATGGGCAAGGTAAGGTTTGGGGATCGAACTCTAGAGCCCGCATTTGTGACTGGAGAAAGGTGAAAACCGTTTCAGTGTGCTTCCGCACCTGTTAAAATTGAAACGATAATACGGTATAGAAAATATTAGCATCGTCCTCGCCCTGCACGAGCATAACACACAGAAATCGGAAAACTGTCAAATTTCTTTTTGTTGGAAAAGAAGTAAAACTGTCAAATTTCTTTTTGTTGGAAAAGAAGTAAGTAAGAGCCATTGGACCCGGAAGGACAGCTGGACCCTTCGGGGCCCAATGGCTGAGCGTAGCTCAGTTGGTACAACCAGGAGCTGTCGAAGTACAGACCAAAGGTTGAATCTAGATGCAATCAGAGGAACAGAGAAATATAATTCTGAATCACCTCGATCCTGTCAGCTCTGCAATGAACCCAGATCGTGAAGACACTTGTCAACAATGCAAGCCCAGATGAATGTCAACCTGGTGATGATTACCAATAATCAGAATCGTGTCCAGATAGAATGAGATGGGATAATCATACACAGACGAAGGAGAGAGGAGGGAGATTAGACAAAGGAGAGGAATAAAGAACAAAGCCCACTCCTGCTGCGGGCTCCCTCCTCGATCCCCAACTCAGATAATCAGTAGTCTGAACACACATCTAAAGTTCTATTCCAGTGTGCCACGTGGCACGTCGAATCAGACCCTCATCAGCGTACTGGAGCAATGTCGACCTCAAGATAACCAGGTACGTGTCCACAATCATCCCACAGTCATGATCCCCGTCCGAGTGACGATGAATTAGAACAGCAGTGTCGGTCACGTAGCCCAGCCACATCAACCGATAGAACACATGGCAGCGGCCACGTCAGCAGCAACGCGTGGCAGCTGCCACGTCAGCATGCCTTGAAGACAATAGCCAGCCAGCCACCATGCCGAGCCAGCAGCGCCTCGCTGTAATCTCCCAAGTGCCAGCACAAAGCCACCGTCCACCAGCGTCGCAGCGTCGAGTCAACGTCGGGTCGCCAACGCGTGAAGTCAGCATTGACGCAAGACTGAATGAATGTCAAAGTCAGGAAGTCAGCGCTTATGTAGTGTTGACGCGGGGTCTGGACCCCAGATGCTACATCCCTCAGCCATCCAGATCTCAATGCAGATGACGGCCCAGATTGGCCTGAAACCGAATTCCTTCTGGCCTCGATGCTGTCTGGGTACCTGTGCACAACAAGTGAGTGTATCTGACCAAGGGCCTGGGCGGGGTACCTTTGACCTGACAGTTGACTTAGACTGTTGATTTTCCCATGGCCGATGTGTGGTCACACTGCCTGGCGCAGGCCAAGTTTGGCCTGCGTCGTCTGGGCTCCGTTTTGAGGGCCCAGACTGCTGCAGAACACGGGTTACTGCAAGCTCAACGATGCTGATATCTCAAGTCTGTCGCCTCTTTTGAAGAAAAAAAGGAAGAGAAGGAAAGGAAAAAGAAACAGAAAAAAAGCCAGTGGGGCCATTGCATCTTTGCCTCCAACAAAGACGGTATGCTCAATTGTGTGCAAGAGAGAAAAAAGATGTAAACATGTCGTATTGTGTTCCGTTTGTTCAGATTTGTGTTTTCGTGTATGTGTGCATGGGTGTGGCTCTGTGTGTGTGTGTGTGTGTGTGTGTGTGTGTGTGTGTGTGTGTGAGATAGATAGA